ACCCCCACCCCCTTCAAAAAAAAAACAAAAAAAAAACATGCCTTGTTCTCCTGCCCTCATTGGTCAAAAATAGTTTGAAATACATCCTCTCAAAGCTTATTAGTGATGTTTTCATATGCCAACCCTGCTTGTACTTTGGAGAAAGCTCTCAGCTAGCAATGCGAAAAATTAGATCATGCAATACCTTGACTACTCTGTTTTCATGCATTGTGATGCAGTTGTTAGGGTCTTTAGACAGCTCAAACAGAGCCCGGGCTGTCGCTTGGTGCACCGAAGGGTCTTTTGATCGAAGGTAGTGTACCAGTGGGGCTACAGCTCCAGCTTCCCCAAATGATACACAATTACTCCCCCACTTACAGCAGCAGGCGATGGCTTCTGCCAGGTACCGCCGTAACTTATCGTCCCCCTGTACAATCACACAAAGAGAGGGAGACAGAGAAAACCTAATTAAATCGAGTATTGACGGATACACATTTTTAGTATGGTTACCATTGAACATACGGTTACATTTTCAGTAATAGAAAAAGTACATTAATATTATAACAATAACAAAATAACAAAATATAATATGAATAACAAAAATGCCTCTAATTTCAGAGAAGTGAATTTGTAATGTGAAACATGACTAGATCAGCACTTACAGTATTGGTGAGATTGGCCAGCATGGGAACCACACCATGGTCTGTAATAACTGCCAGGTTCTCCACATCTTTAGCAATTTTGGCAATGGCTGCACAAACACTGGCCAGCACATCTTTATTCTGTGATTTTAGCAGGTTAACAATGAGCTCCAAACCACCCACAAAGGAACGCACCATTTCTCCAGCATCCTAAACACAGAGAAAACAAGAAAATGTCATGAATTGTGAAAACGTTTATTTTTATGTTAAATCATTCACTGAACTATTGAGAATAGCCACATTTCTCTTATGATACATGGAGATGCTTTGGGATGAGACGCAGGCTGTGAGATTTTGCAGGTCTGTACTCATTCTGTCACATATGAAACCGGTACATGTCAAACTCAATCAGTCCACACTACCTAGAGAATATACTCACCTCGGAGAGGAAATATGGCTGAAAAAAAAGGAGCATTTGCTATTTTTCCCTTTGTCTGTTCGTGTGTGTAAAGCAGTGCTTGTTTTAGGCTTGGTGGCACCATGATGGAGGACGCGCTTTCACCCAAAGGCCTCAGGTCACATGAAAGCTCATGCCAAAGTAGAGGGTCAACCACAGTAGAACATTGGGCTTAAAAAACACACAAGCCCACACATATTGCACAGAAATGGCAACTTTAGGCACTCTTTTATATTCAGCCCAGTCATTTCAGTTGTGCCAGAGGGTATGTAGCATGCCAGCATGGCACCAGACTGTTTAGAACGATTATAAAATAGTACAGTGATATCTTTATTGATGGTACAGAGGCATATAATTATGGTTTTGGAATCAGATAAAGCCAAACATTCAGTAAACAACCCAATCTTGTATTCCCACCTGCTATTTTTACTGAATAAAGTTGTCACTTGCGATGACAAGGAATGATTATGGAGTACCACAGGTTGCTGCTTCTGTTCTGGTCATATACAACACTACCCAACCGTGACTTGAGTTAAGCTTTGTGTGAATTGGAGTCTCCTAACCTAGAGAACAAAGTCTAAAGTCCCTGACTCTCTTGTAAGTACAGTCCTCCGGGGGTTCTCTTGAGAACAATAAAGTCTGTCCCTCTATAACCCTGTATTTCACAACACAGCTTAACCCTAATAAACCCTTGTACACAGCACAGCAGAAATCAGCCTTCCACCCTGCAGACCCAGAAAGAGAAGAGGAGACCCAGAGCAGGTCATGCGTGCAGAGCAGGGTGAGCCTCTAAAGTGATGCCAAAGGATGAGCGGCCCACAAAAACATCCCAAACTAAGTTCCACATCAGCAAACACAGCACGAAGCGAGACGTGCAGAGAGGGAGGAAGAGTGAAGGAGAAAGAGGGAGAACGGATGAAACACAAACAGTGTACAAAAACCAATGTAAGCCAAGCTGAAAGAGGGAAAGGAAAAGGCCCAAGAGAGAAAAAGGGAAGAACAAGATGCTGAGAGTGTGAATATGAGAGAGAAAAATTTGAGAATTGCACTAACAACAAATTATAGCATTCAGGGAATTGAGTGTGAGGTATAACATTTTAATGTTTACATTAACGCTTTTGGAAGAGGTTTTAATTTAAAGCACACATCAAAAGCAACAAAAGCAGATTATGGTGTCTCCTCACGTCATCTGCTTCTGGTTGTGCTTATACACACCGCAAATATTACATCCACTGACCAACTAGCACATATATTTTGCACCTGCATGAGAGGAAACAACTCTCCATACCAGCAGGTGGCAGTAGCCTGTATTCACCGGAAGACCTAGGACTGCGGATATGCAAACCATAAACAAAGCAGTGCTTGCCTTACTACGGATTCGCTACAAAGCTTCTTTGAATATGTTTGAATATTAGTTGAGCTCTTTCTATGCTCTCTTGGCTTCATCTTTTATATGCTTTCATCACTTCCAATTTTTCGTGCATTAGTTCCCCAAGCTGAACAGCCAATCAGAGTGATCTCTCTCACCGAAAGGCTCTGCCGCCGATTCAACATGCCCGACTAGTGTCACTGGTGCAGGTTGACAGACAGTTCAGTGTGTCACGCCTTTTAAGAAGCCAATGTATTTCTAATGAAAACAAGGAAAAATAAGAAAATCTATCCAAAAAGGTGTTTGATTCAAAGCAGTCTGGCAGAACTTCCAGAAAAACTTCGTACCAATTGTTAACAACTACGTACTGCCATTGGTTCAAAAATATGTGACCCCCAGCAATATGTTTGCAAAGATTATGCCGCTGTTCAGCTGTTTTACCTTCTTTCTAGATATGAAGAACAAAAAACTTCACCATATCAGAGCCTTTACATTGCATTTTCAAGATTTACATTTAATCAGTACATACTAGTAACACTGAGTACATACTCAACTGCATTGTGAATGTGAGGCCACGTTTGTCATTGTTAGACAAATTTTCATGGACAAAATACATTTTGTCCATGAAATACACAGGATCCGGGATTTTGTGGAGGGCAAAAGATTTTCCTATACAGATTTCATAGTGGGCTCAAGTTGATTCACATTGTTAACCAACAGAAAAGTGTTTGGTTTGAAAGTGATTTCTGTGTGAGCTGTGTTTCATACATTTTGCATACAAAACTTCACAGAAATCATCAGTGACCACACCTTGATTCTTTGGACTAATTAAGTATGGTCCTTGTTAAAACAGACAACACTACATGCTAAACTATCTTACAGTAGCTAATAATTACTAGATGATTCATAGTAAGCACGCGTTTGTGCACTGGTAGGGATTTTGAAATCCCCAGATGCGGTTCCTCAAGCATGATTCTCATAAATCTGGCCCTGGAGCTGCTAACTCAATCCACATGGGCCTTTATCCAAATAACTGCTGCTGTGAGGCCGATCAGGTTCCTGGTCTGGATGGGTACGTAATTTCACATAGCCCTTGCCACCAACTCTCACTCTCCTCTCCCTCAATGCACATACTAAGGGCTGCTGACCCATTGCAGTCCATGAAGTGAACCTGCATTGTTTTAGCGACACATCACAGCCAGGGCGCTATAAAGAGAAAGAAAAGAAGAAATTCTGGAAGAAGCAGAAAACTTTTGATTTAGATAAAAAAAAAATAAACATACATTATATAACAATGCTCTTGTATTTGCAACTGTGCTGATAATCTACAGGAACAATAATGCATTTGTGTTAATGCGTTACACAAGAGGCTCAAGAAAGCAGACTTGCTCTGTGCCAGCTATGAGATTTATATCCTATATATAGATGAAACCAACTGCTTTGTCCATATACTGGATGTTGTAATTCTGAACGTGTGATTTCTATGTTTACTTGTGGATTGGTAGAAAGTTAATGATATCGAGGGCAGCGCTCTAGGTTAAATGTGCATTTAGTAGTTCGTTTGCAAGCGTAAGCTTCTTTGTTCTTCGTGTTCTTTAAGCACCGACACCACAAAGGCATTAGATTTGGACAATTTGTGCATCTCTCTAGTCAAGATTTTGCATATCTACAATGGCAATAGCACTCAGTTTATGAGGATTCTCTATTGTGTTTATTGAAACACCATCATTTCAACATGGCAAGATACAGATGAACCTGTTTCGAAACTGGGCATAATTAAACATACCTTTGCGTTCTCAATGCAGGGGCAGATGGCCCAGGCAGCACTGGCCTGAACTTCTGGATTGGGGTTCTTCAGCAAAGACCAAAGAAGACGTACACCATCAAGACGATCGATTATCCTGAGAGAGAAGAATAACAACTTGTATTTTCTGGATACTGAGAGATGTCACACCAACCTGATTTATCACCCCCCATTACATAGTTTACAGTGCAATGTACAGAGTAAGCTCATGACTTGTTTTCCCAACAGCTCATGTCTGTTTTTCCCAGGGTTCAGTTTGGCTTTTGCAGCAGACTATCCCTCCTGGTGTGATGATGAAAACATTCCAGTAGCAGATCAGAAAACTGCTCAGCATGGCTTTCCCATCACATCCCACCTGCTCAGTCCCTTACGCCGGTACCCCCTGCTCACCTTCCAAACCTTCCAACAACTCCATTAAAACATGTTTGCATCAGCCTGGCCGAGGCCTGACCCGTACAATGCTTTTAGGCGGTCCGTGCGGATATTTATAGCGGACCGTGGACAAACACACATTCACACACACTTGCACGGAGCACACCGTTTAACTCGGTTCCTGTTGGCGACTCAGAGGAGGAAAAAACCCAGAGAAAGTACGTTTTCCAAGTCAAACATTCTTAGAGACAAGTCTTTCTATATTTCACTGCTTCTGAGTGAGGTTTACTTAAGAACAGGCTGTATTTCATGTTGCGGATATGATTCTACTAAAGGATGTAGTCAGGCTCTGGGAAGAACGGGAAAATGACTCTTCAGTGCGGTCCGTTTGTCAGGTATAAATAATATGCAACCTGTTTCCCATGTGTGCATCCAGCGACAAGGCCGACATTCAATGCTGTCATAATTGCTAAACCACGCCGCAAAGTGGGGAGGCAGTGAACGGAGGCCGGTCTGAGCACTGGTCAGAGCCATCTTAACGCCAAGCGTACCCCCCGACCCCATCCTCATAATAAATCAGTTTGAGAAGCATGATAACAGGGAGAGCCCCACACTATCCCAAGAGGCCACTAAATCCTTTAGGAGCAGGACATAATATTGCACTTGAACAGGTAAGATGCACTCAACACTACAGTAGTAGGATGCATCTAGAAATCAGTTCCTGGGCTGGTTTAGCCATGGAAGTTTGTGTGTTTGACAACAACAATGGAAAATTTTGTTTAATTTAGCCATTTAGATGTATAAAGATCTAATATTTCAATAAATCATTTTGAAAAGGTAATTAGTATGTTTTCAAACTGAACAATAATTTTGAGTTCCAGATTATTTTGTACTATATGGAGGACAGACCGTCATGAATTCCTTTTACTGCTTTTAATTTCAGAAGCAGGCCTGAACAAGCTGTTCTATGAAAGAAAACTGTCATCAAATATGAGCTATGCTAATTGCTTTGTAGACTACTGTGCTTAATTCTCAAAATAAACCATCAACACGGAACAAAGAGGAATGAAAAAACATTAAAAAGACTCTGTTACTACAAGGAAATGGGAACAAAAAGACAAGTCCTAAATATAGATTCCATGAGAAAACAAGAACAGCATGTTCAAGAGCTGGTACATAGGTCTACAGGACTGAAGTTCTTGGTCACTCAAAGAGTTAAAATTAAATGAATGACCTTATTTCTTCAAAAACAAGCTTTGTGGACTTTTACTACACCACTGTGGTTGCTCACATCCATAAATGTATTAATCTTTCAGACAAAGGCTGTGTGAGCTTGGGTGCCGAAGAGAGGGGAACAAAACACTCTTCATTTGTGTCCAGCATTAATTAAGAAGGGGACTGCAGTCTATAACAGTCTTGTAAAAGCAATTAGAGTCAGATGTGTTAAATATACAGAAAAACCGATACTCAAATCTCTGTGAATTAGATGGCAGTTCTGTGCTCTGCATATATTAAAGACAATGATACTTGTTTTTCTGTTTGTTAACCATATGTCACCACTAGGGTCGTGTTGTTGGTTTGTTTTTGCATGCAGCCTGTGAGAGCACCCTAAAATATGTTTCTTCCTATTATTTCATGAGTTCACAGTGTTTTTATTGTATGACACTCAATACAGACCATAATCTAGTACAGTAAGCTAAAAAGACATTCTGTGTACTCATCTGTGCTTATGCTCGCCTGCCTGTTTCTGTTTAGCAAGTCTAATGGCCGTTGTCAGAAGTGCTTTACAGCTTATACAAACTGACCGCATTGAGACAATAAAAGGCCTACACCCTGGCCGCAGCTATGAGTCTCACAGCAGGTAGAGTAAACACAGATCTCCGAGGCCTGTAATTACAAAACCAGGGCTGAGGGCTCTTGCCCTGCATGTGCGGAGCACGGAGACTGGTCAAGTGGCACATCCCAGGGCCCGTTGGATCCGCCGCAGAAGCGGTGAACATGGAATCTTTTACAAAGAACAAGAACAATGCCTTGTCATCCTAAACCGAGCCAATGGCAACAGTGAGAGGGATTACAAGGCCAAGGTTGGATACTATGAGCATTGTCAGCTGCTGGATTGTTTCTGGACAACTGTTTTGGATCCAGGTTGATTAGGTAATACAAAAACAGTGAAAACAGTCTAATATGAGCACAGGGAAATGTGTTATAGTAATACAGTGCAGAGTGTATTTGATTTGTAAAGGACACATTCAAGAATGTTGTGGTAAGAGGTAAGACTTACACCATGTGCTCAGGGTCAGTGGCACAGGCTCCCACGGCCCTTGTGACGTTGACCAGAAGGGCCTGGTTGGTGCCGGTGAGTAAGCTGACCAAAGGCTGGATACCACCACTTTTGCGGATAGTGGCAAGATTCTCCGATATTTGGGCACATTCTCCCAATGCACCCACTACATTAACAAGTACCTCTTCAGGTTGGTCTTTGAGCAGACCTACCAGAATTTCTAGTGCCTTATACTCTTGAAACCTGTGAGAGAGAAATAGAGCAAGAAATTATTACTCATATGCAAGCCCAAAGCATTTTCAATTAAAAAATACTAGGACTCAATATACCAAGTCATCAATTGCTTATCTCCAAGAAACATACCATTTCCTGTTGCTTCCACACAACAAGCATTTATGGTGCTCTTTTTTTTCCCAAACCTGGGCACATTTCCTCTGTGAACACACTTGCTTGTACTTTAAAATATTTAAATCACAGCTGTTGAAAGCTGTATAAAGTTTTGTAATGAATAGTGAGATTTTCCCCTGTGTGTTTAAATGTGGTAGCTGATGGGATAATGGGAAATCCATGGGAATTTCATGAAAGAGAGCAAGTTGTGTCAATATTGCTCCGAAGGAAACTTCTTCAATGGACACAAAAACATGAAATGGTTTGTTTATAATTAGATGAAGCATTTTTTTCCATCATGCAATGGATTATAAAAACATGAAGACTCAAAACCCTAAATAGCAACAGGAAGCATTCGTATGGGTTGTGGATATCTCGGAGGAGAATTAATCCGGTGATGCTTTATCACCGCAACATTTCCCACGCTGCGCTCAATATGCATTTATGCTCAATGACCACATTTTCTGGTTTGGAGCAAGACAACAAGAGCTTTTGGTAAGAGCTTTTTGGATTTGTTTGCCAAGTAGTGGTGAACTACAGTAAACATTTAAAAGGCATATAATGTGGTTGCAGGGAGCCTCAACTAAACTCTGATGTACGGTTAAGCTATATGGCTGTTTTTATTCACAGTTACGGTTTCTGGCTAAGCAGTCCTGAAGACCATTGAGTGTCCAAGGTCACTTGGCTCTGGTCAAAGTCAGCCAAACATTTTCTTGCAAGTAAAACAGATTTTTTTTTTTTAAATCTGCCAAAATTAGCAAAGCATAAAAGTCAGAAAAAAGGTCAGGCCTACACTTAAACATAACATGTAAAACAGAGATGCCATCAGTGAAGTGTTATCAGCATGCTACATTAAAGTTGTGGAGCAATTACATGTTACCTCTGATTAATGGACTGTGGGTGTTGTCTATTTTTGTAAAGCCAACATCAACCTGCCAAATAATCATGCCAAGAGAAACAACATGAAACAGCACCGGTCAGTCGCTACCACCAAAAAAAAAAAAGGTTAAAAAGTGAGCATGCACTGTTTTAGAGCTCCTAACGGCATCCTAAAGACTGCAAAAATAATTTTTAGATCTCTAAGTGACCAAAAAACCCAAAACAGTTGTCCATTTGCTAAGACCCACAGCTAAAACATTCCTGACTTAGCAACTGTTGCTTTCACCCATTTTCTCAGACAAGCTTTTATACTTTTATTCTAATGTAGATTAATGGAGATATAGTTTTACATGCAATTTTAAACTAAGGTTTTCAGTTCCAATTCATTTCCAATTATGCTTTTCTTTTTTCAGTTTACTTTGAGAATCGTTTTCCCACAATTCTTTTCAGTTTTTAATCATGTTATTGTGTAATTTAGGTTTCTTTGAAGAAAAACATCAGATAAAATGCTTTGCTATGTCACGTCATTCCAGCCCATTTAAGAATAATTTCCAATAAATTGTTACTACTTTATGAGCACATTTTATATAGTATTTCACTGTTCATAGAAATCTCCAGTTAATTTCTATGGGGTGTTCTGTAAAGCTGGTCAGAGTTAGCAACAGCAAAGGACAGTAATTTCAAAATGAAACAATTATGGACTTTGATGGCACTGCCGTGGGAAAATAAGGGAAATCAGTAGTGATGCACATTTTTATTTATTTATTTTATGTTATTTTATTTTTCACTGAAACACTGAAACCAAGTGTTAATTTGGCTAAAATTTTGGTAATTAAATTTGGGTAACTGGGAAATGGAACACCGTATGCTGTTCAAATTATTGTAGTGAAGTTCTTCAGTAATAAGCCACCTCTCAATATCTTAGCCAAACAAATTTTACAAATTGCTGCTCCAGCATCTGTTTTGGTAACGGTGAAGTGCTGACAAGGTAAAAACTCTCCATTGGATGGCATTAATTAAAAGTCACTGTTTCGGTCAGTGATTTCAGTCCATTTCAATTATTTTGGCATATTTAGAATATTCATCACTAGAAATTAGTACGTAATTAAGCATTTCGTGAATTCTTAGCTGAAAGATCATAGATGGCTGTGATATTGCATTAAAAGCTCTATATAACTAAAAACTCCAGTGAATATCACCCTTTGTGTATAATAAAATTAAGGTTATGAGCATAATCATTATAATATTTTTCTTCATAAAAATTTTATGCATCATTAATCAGGTTAACATATGCCTTTCCCAGCACATTTGTGGAGGTCTCACATCCTCTTCAGTCACTACCACCTTCTAAAAGCTCCTTCGACCCAGCCCTGAACCCCTCTTTCTGCTGGACTCACGTGACCACCCCTCTCATCAGCCACACAAAGACATGCTGTCTGCTGCTGGCAACACCAGGACTCTCAGAAAAATAAGGAGGAAAAGCACCTCAAAATTATGACCACTGTAAAATACATTCTGAAATGATTTTCGCCTTAAAACGCCAGGCCTTGATTGTTTCTGAAAAGGCACACTGCGCTTACACCGAGACCGAGATGGATTGGGAAAACACTCCCTGGTAAATGATCACTGACCTACCGCTCCACTCCCTTGGCAGATTTAATTTTACATAAATGGTTGGTTTGTTTTATTCCAAATGCTGTGTTCGACCTTGATGTTGTACAAAAAAATTGTAATAAAACCAGTTCTTTCTTCATGTCCAAGTTTGCATTCTGCCAGTAACACAGTGGTTTTCTATACAGCTGACGTCTAAAACTTTAAACCAGCCACCTGCTCAAGTGAACACAACAAAAGTGAGAGAGGTGTAACTCTGGTTTGGCACATCTAGCATAAAATTAATTTTTATTATGTTCTGGATAAAGATAAAGAGTTGATATAAGAACTAATACACTGATAAAAAAGACCCTGTTCTGTATAAAATATACTGAAAAATGTGTTGCAAAAGTAAGAAAGAAATCATAAAAATTTTGTGTTTTGAGAACAAAAAGACTTCTCTTCAACAGAATCTTAATAAAAAAACTGAAAAAAAAAAAAAATATCCACCTCTGTCAGTCCATAAAAAGCAGGTTGATGGGACCCTCAAAGTTAATGCATCAAAAACCACACAAAATGAACTAACACTCATTTGACAGTTGGCTCGATTACTTTTTCTAATCTCTGTTTGTGTTCCACAGAGGATAGAAAGCCATATACATCTGGGACAGCAGGAGAATGAGTAAATGATGACATAATTTTCATTTTTGGGAGGAGTATCCCTTTAAGTATTAAGCCCCTTGAACAATATTGGTCATCACCTGGAGAAAAAAACAAAAAAATTATGTGAAAACTACGGAGCCCCTAAAGGGACATGGTGGTGGAAAAAAAATCGGAATGGGTGGAAAAAATTTGGGGTGGGAGGAAACATTTTTTTTGCTTTCTCTCGCAAAACTTTTGCTTTCCCTCACAAAACTTTTGCGTTCTCGCAAAGATAGTTTGCGTTCTCTCGCAAAAGATATTTGCGTTCTCTTTCAAAACCAGTTGAGTTCGGACAAACACTTTCTGTTTACTTTACAGCTTGTAAGTTAGTGGTTCATACAGCTCGTACGTTCACAATGGAGCGGTTAATAGAGTTTTATTTTAAACTTGGACTCAAGTTCAAATACAGTCAGCTTTGCTTATAGTTTAAGGCACGGTTTTAGGACATTCTAAAACGCTTAATGTGGCTTAATGTACTATAACAGTGACATTGGAGGCCCAATTCGGTATTAATAAATGCTATTGATACTAATAACAATTGTAATATTAATAACCTTATAGCATTACTATCAGTAAAGCACATAGCCATGAATGCAGCGTTAAGCTTTCTCCCCCATAGAAAACCGTTAGGCTATAGAAAATGCTTAAGGGAGACTAATAGATGAAGACGGTATAAAACCAAAATATGGTACTCAGTTTATTAATGAAATATAGCCTATTATGCACAGGAAAGCAGAAAAGCCCAGAACAGCTATAAACAAGCCAAAACCTAATTTAAAGCGAAACTGAAACGAACCGCTCTCATTCAGCACAAATCCAAATGTTTCCATATTCGCAATATATTTGAAGCTAAACCATTATTTATTAAATTAACTGGGCTTTGTACATTCCAATATCGACGGGGAAAAAAATCATAATGAACAAAAATGTGCCGGACTGGAGTGGAACAGGGCTCACGCTGTAAGGCACAGACTATAATACAGACTATTTAAATTGACTGTGTAACATTTTATCTGTATTGGTGATTCTATGTTGTTTTTTTTAAATAATGAACAGGCCGCGCTGTTTGCAATGAATATGTGTGCATGAGGTGCCGGCGCGATCAAATCGCTGAAACATAAAAATACTCTGTCACTTACAGAAGGGCATAATTCGAAGTCTTCAGTTTGAAGATTCAATAATATAAAAGATTATTAGCTCAATTTTATAAAGCGAACACTGTTACATTCTTATTTCACTCTGGAACCTACGAGAATGCAATTTTCCCTGAATATCCAAAAGACTGCAAATGTGACATTGGTTTTATATAACAGTTCAACAAAAAAGGCAATATTAAGTGTACATTTTAAGTTTTACATTTTAAACACAATATTGCCAATATTGTTTGTTATATTTTACAACGAAATAATAGTTTCAACGAAATCCGCAACAGAACTGTTGTGCGTCTCCAAGCAACAGCTGTGTTTCGTTAGTGAATGAATCTGCAGCTTTGAATGATTTCGGAGAGTACTGATTAATAACCCATTCATAACTACAACCATTTGCTTCGTTACTGAATAAATGAATGACGCGATGCCTTGCTCATTAGACTTGCCGCCACCTACTGGCGATTTTAGTTTTGAATCTACAAGTATCACTTCGTTTTGCCTCATTTATTGCTTTATTTATTATATTAATAATACATACACTTAATGGAATGTTAAGAATATGACATAAAACATGACATACGATTAATAAGGCTAGAAAAACTTTGCCTCTATAATGGTAAAAATGCACCTGTAAATCATTGTAAGGGGGCAAATATTGTCCCTTAATGGAAAAGGTGTGACTGCGGTCTAAGTGGGGGTACTCAGAAGAATGTTAGGCTAAATGCCCTAGGGGGTATACGCCACTGTAAAAAAGTCTGAGAACCACTGGCTTAATGGATTACTTCGTTGATTGCCTGTAGTATATTTTTAATAAAATATAAAATTTGGGCTGTTTATATCACTGTCTTCTTATATTAAGCCACATTAAGCGCGGTTTACTATGGGGAAATGCTTAGCATGCAATTCAGTTCATATGGGCTCATCTGCTTGCATGTACACAGAATATAGCCTATTTTTAATAATTTCTATAGCATATTTGGTCTTTTTTATCGCCGTCTTCATTAAGCCACGTTTTCTTTATGGGAGGAAAACACTTCTGTTCATATTCTGGGCTTACCCTGCTTTCATGTATAATTTATTAATAAACTGTATACCGAATTCGGCCTTTTTATACCACCGTCTTAGTCTATTAATTGTTTTCTTTCTATGGGGGATATGCTTTTAACCTGCAATTTACCAGGTTACGTTCATATTCTGGGCTATTCTTCTTGTCTGTATGCTTTATTAATAAGGTGTGTGCTGAATTTAGTCCTCCAGTGTTTTACATTAAAGGGTTAGTTCAGCCAAAAATTTAAATTAGGCTGCGTTTTACTCACCCCCGAGGCATCCTAGGTGTACATGACTTTCTTCTTTCAGACGAATCCCGTTTTTATTTCACTTCTTTTGTACTGAAGCACTGCAACACCTGCTGACTGCAATGATAGAGCTTGGAATAGCCAGGATAATTTTTAATATAACTCCGACTGGATTCGTCTGAAAGAAGAAAGCCATATACACCTAGGATGCCTCTGGGGTGAGTAAAACACAGTTTAATTTTCTAATTTTCATTTTTGGGTGAACTAACCCTTTAAGCATTTTAGAATGTCCCAAAACTGTGCCTTGATAAGCATGCACTGACTATTTCGTCCAAGTTCAAAATGAAACTCTATGAACCGCTCCATTATGAACATATGGAGCTGTATGAACCACTACAATCTATAAAATAAACAGGAAGTGTTTGCCCGAACTCAACTGGTTTTGTGAGGGAACGCAAAGTTTCTTGAGGGAATGCAAAAGCTTTGCGAGAGAACGAAAAAAATCTGAAAAATATTTTTTCCTCCCACCCCAAATTTTTTCACTCACTCTGATTTTTTTCCACCACCATGTCCCTTTAGGGGCTCCATAGAAAACAGTATTGTTCTTCTGTATTGTTATTTTTTTTAGTTGTGACTTGGGACTCCACTATTCTCCAGAATGATTTTTAAAATCTTTTTGGTTATAGTTATCTTTTTCGGTGTGAACAGGAGTTTACACTTCAGTAGTGTTTTCAGTAAACAACTCCACTATTCTCCAGAATGATTTTTAAAATCTTTTTGGTTATAGTTATCTTTTCCGGTGTGAACAGGAGTTTACACTTCAGTAGTGTTTTCAGTAAACACACTTTGTTTACTGGCTTGTTTAATCTCACTTTTAAGCATAAGTTTCAACGAGGCTTCTTCAGAGGTATTACCGTGGCCCCAATCTTAACAACTGAATGTTTTCACAGAGCATTACTTTTCTTAAAGGACACTTATTTGGCTAATGGGACATTAAGTGAATTGAATGTGGCATGGGGCACCTGCCTCCAGTTTCAGCAAACTAAACCTGATGTAAACGCATAATGAGCTTTTGTCAGCTTTGACTTATGAGGTGGAGAGAGAGCAGCCATGCTGCTACTGGGCCATTTCAGACACCAGCCTCCCTCTGAATTCCTCTTTCAATGCTATTCTATTTGCGGCTGGTGTGGGGCCAGACAGTAGATCCTTCTACAGATCCTAGTCTATAACAATCCCATAAAATACTAAAAAAATGCTCTTATCATAAACTAAAAATGTAGATTTATCAGCTCCTTGGCTTCAAAGTTGTGAAAATAACACCTGAAAATTTATAGTGGAATTAAAAAATGCATTTTTGAGCCCAGTAGAGTACATGTCCCCAAACGCATACTGCAAAGCAAAGTAATATGTGTAAATCACTTTTATATGAGAGTGCTTGTGTGACAGAATGGGCAAGCCAGTTGATGATTCCAAGGTTTTTTTGTATTTATGGGGGAAAATGACTGGCTTAAAAGACATCAGCCGCCAGAAAAATTACACCAGGAAAGCCTCCAGGATGGTCATCATCTTCACTGAGCTAAGTGATGCTGGAATAAAGACCAGTGTGCTTTACATGACAAACGGTTTAAGAGTCTTTCAGCTTACACTCCTGATTATTACAGCATGACTGTTTCAGAGAAGCATTCCACATCTCCCACAGCCCACTTGCCACTAATGGAGCAACGGCCTCGACTAACACATCACGGGTGTCTATAAAATCAACACTTTACTTCATCTTTTGTTAGCAGTATGGGTGAAAGAACAATTCGCATTCCTCTAGCAAAAAGTCATCATAAAAGATCAGAGCTCATTCACAGAGTTTATAAAAACTTTTGCTCTCTCTTCAAATAATCACTTCTGTAGCTGCACTCAGCGCAGACTCAGATGGACAATGGTTGACAGCTTTGAGCCATGGAAAATCTGAGCGTTAGAAGTGAACTAATGAGACATCTCATAAAAACGAAGGCTGCGTTTGATTGCACATCCTCTGTCCTTCACTAAGTTGAAGGACCTCTTTTCATGAGTGGTGCACAATTTGACCAAATCTGGAGCCAATTACGCATCTCACATTGACTTGACTCCTCCTAGTCTAAATATGCCACACTGAGATCAAAATGTCTATTGACCACACAATGAATTTTTGATTTTTAGGAATGGAATAGAATTAAGACCTGTATTTTGCAAGATCAGAAATGTCAAACTTCTTCTAATTTTTGATAAATGATGTGAATTAATATACTGTATGAAATATTTCTTCCACACATGATGAGTAATTATGGTTGTTCTAAGAGGAAAACTGTCATATTTTTTCTGAAAAATGCAAGAAATGTTTGTGCAGAAGCTCTGCAGTTACATGCACATACTTAGCTACATTTTCCAAGCTGATGGAACATTTCCAGATGGCTCCAGTCGTGGCAGCTAGTAACTGCTTGTTTTCAGCTTCGTTGAGCAACATGACCAGTGGCTTCAGTCCGTCGTACTGCCGCACCAAATCACGGGTATGTTTATCTTCTGCACACTAACACAGGAGTGAAGGCGCACACACATATAGTACACAGATTTAGGCAGCATCGAGATGTACGCCGCACTGACAATCAGAGCCAGGGCTAAACTAGTATTTTCATTCCAACCTCAGCCCTTTTATACGGTGCCAAAGAAAAGTGTAGTTGAGTGTGTACGGCCGTACCTTAAAGATAGCGCTGGCACAGTGCATTTGGAGCTCCTGGTTGTCACAGCTGAGGTTCTTCACCAGATCCTCAATCATGCCCTCAGTCTGTATAGCAATTCTGTAGCTCTTCTGCCAACACAAACATGCAGAATGACTCTCTACGCTGAACACCTACTGTAAAAACCACTCTGCCTTGCCAAACAACACTGCGTGCAGCGGCATAGCGCTTATTTCATCCTAGGGTTTCTTGCTTCTGGCCTCATACAGTCATTCACATCTTCAAACTGGTCCTTTAATAGAAACAATCTGCCAGTCAAAAGTAAGGTTTCATGAACAGCGTGCTATTTTCAGTCAAGTGTCTGAGTGTGTATTGAGTGGCTTTAAATATAGCATTTGAAGCTTGCATTATGTTTCACAATACTTTTGTGTATGTAAATATACTTTAAAGTATTTAATGCTATTTATAATGCTATGGCATATACTGTAGATAATTGTTATAAAAATACATTTAGAATTAAAATTAAACTACTGTTCATAAGTTAGGGGTCTGTGAGATAATTATTATTATTTTTTTTCCACACTAAGGTTGCATTTATTTGATCAAAAACGAAATATTGTGAAATATTATTTCAATTATTATTTTCTATTTTAATATTCTTTAAGATGTAATTTATTCCTGTGATGGCAAAGCTGATTTTATTTAGCTGAAGAACTTCCAGTCATATGATGAATAGAAAGTTAAAAATAACAGAATTTATTTGAAACATTTTTAACATAAATGTCTCTACTGTCATTTATTATTTATTTATTGTATATTTGCTGAATAATAGCATTCATTTCCATTTTAATTTTCTTCTACGTTTTACAAAGACATACTATAATATTTCAGTCTTTGTACTCCAGTTTTTTGCAATTCTGCGATCCCTGAATCCGACGGAAAATCAACAAAATGTCGCATTTTTTGTGATCCTGCATAATTCGTAATTTTATCGCACAATAACCACAAAAATGAAGGTCTCACAAAAACGAAATGATAATTATCTAACTGAATTATCCCTAATTTTATTATGCATTTTGTTTGTTCTTTGTGTCATGCATGACTGTTGTGCATCTAACATAATTTATAATATGTGACACTGGACCACAAAACCAGTCATAAGTCACTGGGGTATATTTGTAGCAATAGCCAAAAATACATTGTATGGGTCAAAATTATAGATTTTTCTTTTATGCCAAAAATCATTAGGATATTAAGTAAAGATCATGTTCCATGAAGATATTTTATACATTTCCTACCGTAAATATGTTAAAACGTAATATTTTGTAGTAATATGCATTGCTAAGAACTTAATTTGGACAACTTTAAAGGCGATTTTCTCAATATTTTGATTTTTTTGATGTTTAATCAAAAAGTTACTTGCCTTTTCTTTGTAATTATTTGTGAGATTTACTAGCAATTTCTGAGTACAAATTGCTTCAAAGTGAATCCTACACTAAATTTATTTCAGTGTAGCTATTAAAGAAATTTCAAATAAACATTTTAAGCATCTGCTTTTGGTTCAACATGATGAAGCAAACCTCAGAAGCGCACTCCTGCAGGGTTCCCACCACAGGGATGAGCATGTTCTTCTGTGATGACTTGAGCAGCCGGGCAAGCAGAGGGATTCCTCCGGCCCGACGGATAGACTCCTTGTTCCTGGTGCTCTTGCTGCAGCTCCAAAGAGCCAGAGCCCCACAGCGCGCCACCTCTGCGTCCCTCTCCTGCTCCGCACTCAGACACACACCATTAGGCACGCAGTCCAACAACTCCACCTGCCAGAAACAACTTCAGCTTTTCAAACGCACTTTCCTGTGCTTGAACTTTGAAATACTGCAATAGATTTGTCACTCTGCTTCCTATGATATTATTATTATTTCATTATTGTGCTTTATACTGTTTTCATTTCACTCTGCATTAAGGTAGGAGAGTCGTGTCATGTCAAAACAAACTTGAATGTTTTATTAATAAGGTCATGGTGTACTTTATGACATCTTCAGTGCACTTCTATCACTGAGTCTGCAGGATGTGGAACACAATCTCCTGCCCTGAAGCTGCCAACATTCATCTAAACATTCATCATCAGCCATAGATTGACTGTTACTAAAAAGGGGTTGAAAATTCAGACTGTCACACCAAAATCTACAAATGACCACATCCTTCAAAGAGTAAATTTTATGTTTCCCCTGCCGTCAAGCCAAAAAGGGCGCTCTAACACAGCATTACACACGCGTGCCGTTCAGAGGTGGTCTGGGTCTTTAAATGTAACTAATCTATGATAGCTACAATGAGAACGTCCGAGTCTGGCCCCGAGTAAATATACAGAACAGAGTAACACGCGAGTCCTAATCATACCGAGCGTCACTCTGTCAATAAACACACATGCCAGGATGAGGGGGAGCACGACATTCAATCTGTTTTTACCTGCAATGTGCTCCCTTTGATGCTGGCATAGTAAATGATTGGGAGAAACAGTCTCGAAAGAAAGAGAGCAAGTGGAGAAATAGAGCATGGTATACGCAAGTACATTCAACATATTCTTCATCCTTTTGTCTCCTTTCCTTTTAATCATAGTCAACCTGTTTTGACAAACTCACACAGGAACAGATTTCATGTTTCTCACCAGTCTCTTGATGCCACTATGTTGTCGGACCGTCCTGCGGGCCCGTCTGAACTTGGCCACATTGGCAATGGTCTCTGCAGCCAGGCACTTCAGCTCTTTGTCAGGAGAGTCCAGGATGGACACCATGGTCTGCAAACCACCCAGATCAGCGATGGTTTGCCGAATCTGAGAGTTACAACTGATCTCCTTCAAGATCTTCAAAGAACCAATCTAACAGCAAGAGAGATTAAAGTATCAATTTTTAAAATAACTGCTTGACATATCTAATGCTGTTGAATTGATTGAAATGTATGGGTTTTCATTTTTTTAAATTTATGAACTTGCTGGAACTTTATGAAAGCTTCAACTTCTCTTTTACTTCACTGTTGTCATGTCAAAAAAAAAAAAAAAAATTTGGGTTTGATATGCCTTTATAATAGTAAGTGTCACTTGTGCATGTTTAATGTGTATCCCAATTTCCCCCAAAATATTAAGCAGTTTTCAACATTCATAATAATAAGAAATGTTTCTTGAGCACCAAATAAGTATATTAGAGCGATTTCTGAAGGATCATGTGATACTAAAGACTGGAGTAATGATTCTGAAAATTCAGCTTTGCCAATCAGAGGAATAAGACATTTTTAAATATATTTAAATTTTAATATTATTTCTCAATTTTGCTGTTTTTATTGTATTTTGATCAAATAAATGAAGCCTCTTGTGAACATCAAAAATCTTACCAGCCACAAACTTTCGACCAGTAGTGTACATCTGTAAAAATATAAACTAAATAAATGAAAGACAGAAAAATAAAATTTTTTAGACTCAAGCGGTGACCTCTGACCCAATTAATTGAGTCTGGATGCACTTACTTTACATCTGATGTCATCTGTGTCAAGCAGGTTGATGAGGACCTCCAGCCCCCCCACGTCTCTGATAGCCAGCTGACACGTCTCCTGGACCAGGTTAAAGTCTCTTAAAGCGCACAACACAATCACTGTGGCTGTCTGATTAGCCCCCTGTTCACACACAAACACATGTGCAGCAATTACATTAGCTGCTCCATCATAACCCACAGGCAGATGAACAAAAACAGCTATTGTTTTCTATATTTCATTCATCTAAAACGTGAAATGACACACTGACATTATACAGTACTGTATGACTTTATATGTGTTATATGAGTGAGTGTGAAGGCAGATGTACACGGCCACATTTGCATCATATAATTCTTGCATTTTTTGCATTAACGGCGTAATTTCTCCATGAACCCCTTTTTTCGACCCATTTGACCCACACCCCAAAATTATCTTCCCTTCAAGTCTTATTTTGTTGACCACAAGTGTTTGGTATTGTGACTATAAACAGGGGTGGGGAGAGATCCTTTGATACAGACTACTGCTGTGCTGCGGCCTGAAACCATAGACAATGACCTAAGTTAGCAATTAAAAGAAAACAAGCTCTGAAATGTTGGAGATCATAATGGATTGGCCTTAGAAAAAGCTCTGTTTTGACAGTTGCTATATACACAGTGTTTTAGGCTGGTCGTTCCTCAGAAGTTGCCTACACAGCGAGTACAACAAACCAAACATGTGGCATTTGTTGGTCCAAGCTCCTTAACAGATATGTATCGCAGACGACTGCGGTTTTGATATCATTCACGGCATGTCTTTTATCGCTGGAATGAAATAACAGAAGGGCAAGTGACAGATAAATAAAGCAGAGGATCCAGCAAAAATACTACACTATTAATCATCTTTAATCAAGAAATTATGGCTTCTTTAGTGATTGCTGTTTGTTTAGGTCAAAACCACAGATCTAAGATCAGCTTTCCCCCAGAGAAAACACCAGAAACTCTACTTCCACGTGTGTTTTTAATGTGATGCCTCGTTTTTCTCCTCCTTTCTTTATGGAGCGGCTCTTATGAATGCAAACAAAGACAGGCTTTTCTCTCCGAGGCTGGCGTTGTGCTCGTTGCAGTAGGTCCCAAAGAGGCATGTAAGCTGCTGTAATGCTGCTCGTGCAGCAGGCCTTTGAAATGTGACACTCAAGTCTGTGTTTCTTTTTCATAAAACGAGCAACAGATAAGATCCAGTGATTAGGCCAGTCTCGCACCCTTGTTTATTAGACGCATGGTACGTCCCAGTTTGCATACCTATTTTATTCTGTTTTGTAATACAAGTGGAACAAGTAGCTCATGTGAAAAGTAGGACACTTTAGCATAATTTAAAAAAAGAGTAGTTAAGGAAATAATATACTTTGAAAGAATAATGTACTTAAGTGGGAACTAAATGTAAAGATTTCAGGGACTTCATTGCATATTATTTGCAATAAAAGAGTGGCGTGAAATAGAATGGAAGAATTAAAGAATGGCGAAGAGACAGAAAAAGACAATAAGCAATTATTTTCATAATCATGGCCAATAAGTAATAAATGGCTGATATTAAAATATATACTATTTTATCTCAAATAAAATAAAACACACATAAAATCAATCATCTTAAATGCTATATGAATGCTAAGGGAATTTAGGCATCAAAACACTGTCATTTGAGATTTGCTAAATGTTACATTTAACAGTGTTATTAAATTGATGTAAGCGTTTTTTTAAGATTAACTTTAAATGAGTTTTAGATGATGGCATGGCATATTATTAAAAAATAACAGATATGGTGACTATGTATTGCACATCTCTAAAAAGTAGCACTTTTTTCACTTAGTAACATGCTATATTTAGTATGTTTTGGAAGAAGACAAAACAATAAACATGGATGTGAGAAGAGGAGAACATCAGATCAAAGAGATCAGAACATGATAGGACTCATAATGAAGGGCAGAGTTGAAAAAAGGGGTGGGGAAATATGAAGAAACTAATAAGAGCGATAAAGGAGACAGACAGAGACAGTGATAAGAAGTGAGAAAAATAGTCAGAGAGGTGGAGACAGAAAGATACAGAAGAAGAAAGAAGCAAGAGTGAGAGAAAAAAAGCACATGTGTTGTCCACATTAAGTGGATGGATCAAATGTGAACCGAAACTAGCAGTGAATCCACTGCACTTTCTGTCTTGCCACTCTCTCCGTCTTCAAAGCATTTGATGTGCTAGCAATGAACCTTGTAAAAACATGAAGCTATATTTAGTACTGATACCAGGGAAAAAGAAATCCAATGTTCATATGCTTTCATTTTCTAGCAGCTTTGGTCTCAACGTGCTGTAGACATTCTTTACAAATCAGAAAACATCTGAAGGTCTTTTATAATGTCTCTGTCTTGAATCTAACGGGCCCTCACTCGCAGTCTGAGGTGTGAAGACAGATGTTCAGGACAGATGCACACGCAGATAAAAGCTGTGAACACGGATGACTGACAGGTTTATCATTTGAAATCACTATACACCATACTCACATTAATGTTAGAGTTTGTGCTATCTCACCTCTCATATGTGACTGCAAGGATGTGCAAACTTACTTAGGGATGTTACTACATTTACTACTGTGTATATATAGCAAATCTCAGCTCCAGGCCCGGCTCCACGGGGGGGGCTAGGATGAGCCAGGAGCTTTGCTAACCCTAGCCAAGAACTAGAACTCAAATCAGAACTCCTGCGCTGTTTTCTGTGCGCACACACCCAAAGCATGCACACAGAGAGCCACAAGTCAGACAGCGCTCTATTACCGTATTTAGCTTTTTTGCATCTTATCATGCTTAAATGGACATATACACAAAATCAGTCACCTTGGTGCCCATATTGGCAAGTATTTTCGTAAGCAGTCTTAACGGAGTTGGGAGAAAATCTGATGTGTCGGCTGCTGAATATACCTTCTGTCTTATGTCATTAATGTTAATAAAAGAATAAAAGAAAATCACTGCTCTGAATGACTGAATAACTTCTTTAGCTTTAATATGGATTAATCTGTATTTTAATTGATACATTATGGTATTTTGTACCTGAATACCACTGTTAGACCTACCTGACAAACTTAAAGCAATTTTTATTTCATTTGTATCTTTATTCTATTGCATTTATTTGTGCTATTATTGCTTGTAATTTGTTCATTTGTTCTTATTTTATTACTTTCATATTATCACACAGCTCTTTTAATAAAGTTTAATTCATTGAGTTGGAATCATTAAGATTTTTCAATGTTTTTGAAGCATATTAGAATATTTTGAGGATCATGTGACAATGAAGACTAGAGTAATGGCCCCTACATTCTGAAAGACTTTAACATCGCTGGAATAAATTATATTTTAAAATGTATTCAAATATAAAACAATAATTTTAAACTGTAATAATATTTCACAATATTACTGTTTTACTGTATTTTTGATCAAATACATATAGCATTGGTGAGCAAAGAGACATTTCAAATTTCAAAAACATTTAAAAAATACTTAATACTAATTACTTTGGGTACTAAAATAGAATAATTTCCATACTTTTTTCTATAATTTCTTTAAGGTACTAACATGTACCCTTTAGGGGCAAATAAGGTACAAAGATGCATTTATTTAAAGTAAAGTAAAATATATTATATATTAAAACTCAACTGATTGTTTATAACGCCACAAAATGTAAGCTATATTATCACACAGCTCTATATATTGGATAGTTTTTAGTTTTAGTTTATTTCACAAGTGTTGTGCCAGAGTTAGCTATAAAGCTAATTTGCATCTGCAGACCCTGGGCAGGATGTTGTTACAAAATTACAATATTCAGTCACAAATATTACAATACATACAACACATACAGTATCACATCACACAGCCATACTTTAAAGTGCATATTGCAGGTTAACATTTTTTTTCAAATTAATATATAACCTTGTATGAAAATACCATATGAACCGTTAATGCAGGATTTGAAAATATTTTACAAGACGTGAGGGCACAAATTTAGAAGAAAAAGTGACGGTTTCCTTGACAGACCACTTTTTTCTAACATCGCGTCATATTACGTCACGAGAGGGAGTCGTGTGCCACGCTCTGCTTTGAGCGTGCGTGATTCAGGGTGTTTTCGGTAGTTATTTTTATTTCAATTTACCATCGTCATGGTAAATTATTGTGTTTGTGGAGGTTGCACTAACTCCAGCCTGTCAGGACATCGAGTCCACAGATTTCCTAACAAGAAAAAGGACGGTATCTTCCGGGCCTGGGTGCGTTTGTGCAGGTGAAGAGACGGGACTTCACTAATGCATCTGCTTCGAGAAACGCGGTGGTGTGGAATTGGGTGCGTTTGTGCAGGTGAAGAGACGGGACTTCACTAATGCATCTGCTTCGAGAAACGCGGTGGTATGTAACTTAACGATCAATTTAGACCGGAGGATTATCATCCCGGCGATATGATGCAGTTCAACATGGGATACCGAAGCAAGAAGCGAGTGAGACTCAGAGCTGATGCACACAGCACCTTCATCGGGTCCCAGTACACCTGTGGCTCGGCCGCAAATCAGTGAACATAATTATTTCAATAATAATGAGACACAACGAGATGTGTATAGGTTGTTGTAAAGCACCACAGCTAGCTTGTAAGCATTAGCAATAATGTTATATACCGTGTAAAAATGTTACCATATGAGAAGGCATAGCTGGTAGGTTAACCTCAGTTTGCTAATATTATAACCATCAAGTCTAGTTACAGCTTAATGACATTGTTTGCACAGCTAATTGGTCATTTTTTTGTCATCTGGTGTGTTTATAAGCCATGTGGAAAAGCATGGTCAGCAGTGAATGTGATCTAAACTTTTACTTGCTTCTCCCAGCATATTGCCAGGGTTTCCGCGGGTCTTAAAAAAAGTCTTAAATTTTGTTGTATCAAATTTAAGGCCTTAAAAAGTCTTAAATTGTACAAGAAAGTCTTAATTATGATTTCAAGAGATCTTAAATTTGAGGACTGAAAGACCAGAATTGCGATATGGCTGAATGTGACGATTAAACTTCAAAAGGCTATGATTTCATTGAATAAACACGAGCGCTGCACGTTCAAAGTCCAGCGCTGCGCTGCTTTGTGTTCTGCCGTTAC